GATATATGATCGGTTCACATTTTCGAACCGATCACATATTGTTCATACCCTTTTATGACTAGTACCGGGCTGTGTGCTTTTTTACTTTCTTTTATCATGTGCTTCTACACCTATTGTCCATTTTCTATATTATGACTCTTCGGCAAGTGGCTTTCTAGTGTATATTGCGCTCATGATGTAAAAAAACGAACTATTCCTAAAAATGGCTATGTTATGGGCGATTCGATTGCCATAAATTGGACTAAAATGAAACGTTTTACGACACGCGCCAGAAAAGGGTGTAAACCTCCTCTCAACAAGGTGCCTGGATTATGTCGTGTGGCTGGTGCACCAGAAATGCTTTTCCTTCCTCCAGAAATGTTAAAGCAGTCCACGTCAGAGCAAAACGATATTGTCTGAGCGTCCTGACACCGTAACTAAAGCTCAGACATGAGACCTCTCGATCATAACTATCGCCATGGAATTGCGTATGCGCCCTGCACTAAGCAAGAAAATGGCAGCGCACACAATGCAGTCAGGGGACTGAGTGCCGTTGCCCCAAGCGTGGCTAATTGAGTGGCTCTATAGTCTATACGCACCCCGCAACTTCCCCAGAGAAGAAAGCACGTTGAGATGCACAAAATAATGCGCTGTCGCGTGACTGAATTATGATTAAAGTGTGAGGATTCTAACTTGATTGGCGCTAACAAAAAAATGTATGTTCTGGCTTTCTTTTTTTCTTCTTTTAGCACGACAATGACTCTGTGTGCGCTCCTGGCGGCGAAGAGGGGAACTTCATCATGTTCCCATCCGCCACGTCTGGCACCAGACACAACAACCACCTGTTTTCGAGCTGCAGCGTGGGCAACATCAGCGCCATCCTTGTTCCGCTCTTCGAGGGCAAGAGCTCTCGCGAGAACTGCTTTCAACGTAAATGCAGGGATCACACGCACACACACACAAAACAACTCTATGAGTTACTTTTCCGCACAACACGAAGAGAGTCAATCACGGCGAACACGGTAGGTATCCCAGCCAGCGACGAACCTCAGAATATGATTAAATCAAAAAGTCCGATGGCGCATGTAAAAAGAGCGTTCCCCTTCTCCAGGGATTATTTTCGCCATTCTTCTCCAGCTCGCTTGTTCCTTTGCATTTAATTGCATTATAATTATAGTGACTTTTCGCTTGTTGATTGTTCCGGTGTCATTATTACATTTTTAAGATATATTGGTATTCGTAGCTTTGACATTTGGTGGGTATGTTTTGTCGATTGCCCTAGATTAGTTCTATATGTGTTGTGCGGAAAAGTGAACTCACTGAGTTCCTTTAGTGGGGAGAAATTCTGAGCTCCAATAGTAAAAAAAAAAAAAAAATGATACCGCATCTGTTTTTCTACGACACGCAAAGCTTTCATATCGGGATTCGTCTCAGTTGTCCTGCAGCAGACGTAATAATTTAATACTTGAACCCAGAATATACTTTTCCCTAAATCCCCCACAAAAAAAGAAACAAAGAAAAAAACAAAGTAGTAAATGAAGTTTTTTTTAAGTAGTAATTAAGCATGTTTTGATCTGTTTACTGTTCCAGTGTTTGCAAAATCAGAACCCAAAGCGCGAAACTCCACGCGAGGGCTTTTCGCCATAAAAAGCGAGCTAACCACGTTACATACGCAGGAATGCAAAAAAATAGAAACGACTGGAGTCTTGTTCCTGTAATAGTCTATAGGCTAATAAAGTTTAGAAAATAGCTGTGAGTGCATATTAGTTAGCATATGTATTAAATGTTGCTCACTAGACGAACTGTGCCAATAAATGAAAACCCTACTTGTCTAACGGAAATGAAGGTCAGAAAGTCACCAAAAACCAATAATTTACAGACCAGCAATTCGAATCTCATTAGTTAATCGTATTGTATGTATATACAGAAGGAAGTTAGTCAGCCCCAATGGGCGACTGCGGCCTCAGGTGTAGATGAGCAATCTAGCCTGCCCAGTGCAACTGCTAGCCTGGAATTTTAATGTTGATCACGCAGCAGTGACACGCGACCGCACGGCGGTACGATAATTATCCGGATCGAAACGGGCAGGGGCTGAGATTGAGCCCAGAATCCCGAGGTTCTTCAGCGTGAATTTTCGCTCCACGTGCTCCCTGCTGTTGTGCGCTAGCCCACTCGGCCTTCAATCGCCTGCTGATCTCATAAGTTCCGTTGCTTACTAATGGATTCGGTCCCTTACTAACCCAAATGACAGGCAACAGCTGACAGGTTCTGTCTCTGGAGAAAACTGGCTGTCCTACGATGTAGTCATGAAACTTCGTGCAGCCATGAATTATAGCTAAAGTTTCCTTTTCAATTTATGTGTAGTTGCGTTGTGAATACGTGAGGGATCTTGAAGAGTACGCAACCGGGTGTTCTTCTTGAAGAAAGACAGCTCCAACGCCATGTTGGCTCGCATCGACAGACAAAGTAAAAGGCCTGTCTGGTTTGAAGTACGCCAAAACTGGAGCTTCCATCAGCGCCTACCGCAGCACTTCGAAACTGTTCTGGTGTCGGTCCGTCCACACCCACGCGACTTCTTTACTCAACAGCTCTCTCAGCGGAGCTGCAATTGAAAACGTATTTGGTATGAAACGAAACACGAAGTTAACCATGCCGAAGAATATTTCAAAGGACTTGCAGTTAGTCGGGACAGGAACTGCTAGAATGTCCTGCACGCGTTGGTGGTCAACTTGAACACCTTCCGTGGTTATGACGTGTCCACGGTACCGAACTTCTTTCTGAAGAAAACAACATTTCTTTTTGTTAAGCGCCAGGTTGGCCTCTCTGCAGCGTTGTAGCAGAGTCCGCAGGTTTGCGTCAAGCTCTTGCTTTGTTGCTCCCCAGACCAAAATGTCAATCATGACAGCGGTTACTCCTCTTAGGCCTTCTAGACCAGTGTGCATTGCCTGCTGAAACATTTCCGGAGCTGATGAAATGGCGAACATCAAGAACCTATACCGTCAAAACGGTGCGCCAATAGTGCACAATTAGAAGCTCTCGTGGTCTAAAACAATCTGCCAGAAGCCAGAGTAGGCATCAAGGGTGGAAAAGTAATTTGCGCCGTGCAGGCCCGGAGAATTCAGGACATGTGCCAATGCTGGCATCGCGTAATGTTCACGTAATAAGGCTCTGTTTATGTCTGACGGCTCCAAACAGGTGCGGATCTTGTTGGGTTTTGTAACAACGACCATCTTACTGCCCTGTTTACTTCTTGTCCTTGTTTTCTGTTGCGCTATTTTATATGTTTTACTGCTCCAATCTTTAGGTTCTGTGACTTTGGGTGTTACTTGATCGTGCCCCTTGCGGTCGAGTTCTTTTTTAACCTTATCTCTCAAAACAATGGGCACTTTCCTCTGGAATTTAACGATACCTTACGCTGCACTTTTCAGCCTCATCCTGTACGAGATATTTTTTAGTCTGCCGAGTCCCTGGAACACATCATCAAAGGGCTTGGCTGCTTCGTACAGGTGGCTGCTCGTAATTGTTGCCATTTGCTTGGTTAACCCGAGCACTTCTGCGACCGATCCGCTAAGTGTAAGGGGTATGTTTTGATCCACCACAGAGAAGTGCGATGTACTTGTGTGGGTCCCACATCGAAGCGTTAGCGCAACGCGCTCTCTTGCATGTTTCAAAAGACCAAAAAACCCATTCAGAGCCATGTTGAATTTCCGCGTTGTCTTATCTGTCAGTCGCCGGAGAGTCTGTTTTGACATGACGCAGCAATCAGCCCCGGTATCAAGCTTACAACCGAGCGGCTCGTTTTTAACCTGAACCTGTGCTGACCAACGGTTTCTGTTTCGAAGGGAAAAGTATTCGTGACGACGAAATAGCGTCTTGCACCTTCAGAAAGCTAGCGGTTCGGGTTTCCCCGCTAAATTTAGTGGGGCAAACATGAACAAAACTAGTTTTACTGCTAGATTTAGCGGGAAAAGTTATGTCACGTGACATAAGCACCAATTCAATTTCCCGCTAAATTTAGCGGGGCGGTTACACCGATGCAGACGCCAACACCGACACCGGGCGCCTAAGAACTGCGATCTAAAATCCATTATTTGATTAAATCGCTTTTCAATCTTATGGACTTCGTCATATTGTTACATGTCAAACAAAGAACCAAATTTTATTTGTCTTTCAATCTTCGAAATGAGCAATTGATTATTTGGTACAAATATCTGGAATAACTTCACTTTAAGGATGTTAACAATAGTTAAACAATTACATGAAACTCATGAAATATAGATTAATCAAGTAGTGTCTTCGCGAGTACATACAACCTTTTGCTTGCAGGACCAAAACGGGCCCTAATATCATTATCAGGGGATATATGTTTACCCATATATGTCGTGAACGGGCTATATAAACAGTATTTGAATTTTTATACAGCGACATATGGCCGTATTTGCACTCGTATATGGCGATGTACGGCAGTGTTTACTCCCATATATGGCGTTATATGGCCATATTTGACTCCTTATTTTATCCTATATAGCCACGTATAAAATATATCAGGGCGATATTTGACATTTTCGTGGGGGGAAAGCTGTAAACCCGCAACATAACCGAACCGATAAAACTTTCGGTTGAACACTCTGGTACAAACCCTGTGTCGTGTTGAAAAATTCCCAGGAAAAAACAGTGAATCATAAAACACAAAAAATAAACTTAAATGATTTTATTTTCCGCCCTTATAACATGGTTAAAAATTGAGACAACACCGGGTTTTTGATAAATGGCTAATCCCCAGGGTATTATTTTTTCTATAGTCCGTATATGACGTATGTTATTTGACAAAGTTTCGTTAGTTTGATTTTGCGTTACTACAGCTCTTCGAAATTATTGCTTATTACAATGTGATGTTGGAACTGTCTTGTTTCTTTTTTTCTCGTGAACACTGTTACAGCCCCAAAGTGGCTAAGGGTACGAATAAATAATAATGAAAGGATGAGTTGCTTGAGAAGTCAATCGAACGATGTTTCATGCAGCGGACAGGGGACCGATCTGTGGCAACACCATGGTTGAAGGAAACGAGACGTGCGACTGCGGTTACACTGAATCGGAATGCAACGACGAGTGCTGCTATGCTCGCCAGAACGACGACAACAAGGAAGGCTGCTCGCTCAAACCAAACGCCAAATGCAGGTGTGTCCTTTCATTCCTCCCACTGATTCATAATAAAAACGTGGCGCTCTATGGATACGTGTATATACGGAATATGTTTTAAAGCCATTTTCATTAATTGTTTTATTTAAAATTGGGGAGAGGAAGTATTTTATGTTTCGGGAGGAGGGGAAAGCAAATATCACTACGGCGGTGGATGTTGAACGAGCTTGTTGCACTTGCCCATCGTCGACCCCTTCTGTGCACCTTCACGGGGTTCGGCTGCTGTTGGGCTCTGCGGGTTTTTTTTCTCCCTGTCGGTCTTTCCTGGGCTGTTTCTTGGTGTGACCCCAGTTTTTTCTAAACACAGTTCCCAACTGGCTTTTTGGCGAAATTCCCACCTGATCCACCAATCCAATTTATTATACCTAATTGGCTTTACATCGGGTTTGCCAACACTGGCGGTACTGCTCGAGGATCATATATTTTTCATTCTTTTAATTTCCTCACCTTATTAAAGGTTTAATTTGACCGTTCCAGACTCCAAAACCTATACGTCTTCAGCTCGTTTGTGAGATTCTACGTTTCATTTAATGTGTTATCCAGAGGGCACTGCTAAATCACTGAACTAATAAAACATAAGCAGCGTAATGAGTCAAAACTCGAGTTTCTAGAACAACATACGTCTTTCAGAAGCAGAGGTAGGATGTCTGACGCTGATGAACTATCTCCCTCTCTGTAGTACGCCTAATCAGTTTTTTCTTTTTTTAATTGGCATTGCGGTCAATAGAAAGTACTTTTATTCCAAATATATCTCAGACAGCTCTAAGAAATATTTTTCGTGAAAATTTGTTTGACCATTACTATACCGATCTCACTAAGCGTTCGGCGCATGCGTGACGGTGCCAAAACTTAAGTTCACAGGAGGAGGCAGATGGCCGTGCATGCGAGGGCTCGTGCTCGCAATATTTACGAAATTAGACGCAATTTCGATGGAGGTCACAGTCCGCTCTGATCCCCGCCCACAGATAAGTGGCTCCGCCCATTACTACTGGACTGGCTGGCTGCTCGACCGCACAGGCTAACAAACGTATTGTCTCCCTTTCGCGTCATCCAATGCGTGCAGTCTGGAAGTCTAACACCCCCTGCCAGTCGTGCGAGCGGACGAGCGGCAGCATCCGGCATCGTCTGCTATTTCACCGCCGTCTACCGTTGTCTGCCATGCCCTAAGGACGCGGACATGAACGGTGCTCGTCGGCGTCCGTTTTCGCCTTCATCCGTTTTCTTTTCCGCCCCCCGGTCTAAAAACTTTTACAACGCTCGTTAGACTCGACCATGAAAGCGGCGTTCTAGCTTTCCATCATGCGCGGGTGACGGTCCAATACAAGCGTCTGTCAGGGTCTGTCGGTGTGCGGGTAGAAAGTGACCGAGATGACTAAAAAAACAACAAAATAAATATGCTGTCATTTCAGCTTTTATATTCTTCTTATTTGTTTCGCATGGCATCCGCAAGAAAGGTGAAAGCGTCATGACGCATAATTAAAACGTGACCTAACGTTTCTCGCTTTGGCAGGCCGAATGCAATGCAAAACTTGAAAGCTCGCCTTGTGAGGCCCAGTGACGGGTACATACCTAGTCGAATTTGATGCGAGCCGAATGCCAGAATGCACCCGAATAAGTGGCTGACAAATTCTTCACTATATAGGTATCTTTTCAGTATTTGAAACCATGTTCACAATCACGACGGTTAAACAGTTCACAGAGCAGTGGGGCCGCTTTTACGGGAACCAACATCTTTATTTTGCATCAACACGCGCAAAGAAAGAAATCAAGCCAGATCGAACAAAATAGTTTATCTGGGACGCTAGGCTTTGGCCAGTCCCTCTACCAGAACAAGCATCCGCACAGGGCTTCCGAAGGAGCGTACTTGCGACAGTTGTTTGCTGCAAACTACGTCTGTTGAGATCTTCCTATTAAACACCTCACACTCGTAAACAATTACGAGCTACACAAGCTGCGCTCGGTCAGCACACCGCAGAGGCCGGCAGCCATGTTTGTTAACGTTGCAAACGAGAGCGAGAGAAGCCATAGAGTTATTATAACGTACGCTGCAGATTCAACTGACGCTAGTGTGTTGTCGCAAATCGAAGCAGATAGCAACCAGTCGAAAATTTACTTCGGGCAATGCATTTCTATGGGGAAAAGTGAGTACATTCTCTCCCTGCGCTCGATTCTATGAGAAAATATCCCGAATAGATAATTGATACGTACTAGGTAGCTTGGAACCTTTCTCAGTCAGACAGACGAAATAATTGGTCAGTTACGGCGTTCTTCTTTCAAATTCATTGCATTAAAAACGGTGCTAAACCGGCTTCTTGCATGCAATTCTGTGCACTGACGGACACTGTTAGCGAGAACACGACGTCGGCGCTTTTCAGCATGGGGGATACACGCGCCAAACCAACGAAGGCCATCTGGAACATCAAGGAAGACAGCAATAACTACGCAGTAGCTCTGGATCAGTAACTCCCTGTGCATGTACTATGAAATAGATTGAAGAACATGTAACATTGTCCGATTTTCTATAAGTAATGCTTTACTTTTTCTGTTTTGTGCGAAGGTGCTTGTTTTATATTGAAAACATCACCCGCACGCTCGAAATCTTTAAGAACTTATGCCTGATAAAAGCTGCCCGGCATAAGAATTGCTTAGAAGAGACACTTTTCGTAGCCCACGTATCTTATTCTTTACGTTTCGAATGTTTTTGACTGCTCTTAAAGATTCACAACTGGGTCATTTTCATATAATGGCAGGACATGCATATTAGCAATATATAAGCCTCATCGGAACTCTGGCGAACGTTGAACGCACTCTACATTCTCTTCGATTGTTATTTTGCTTATAATCCTCACTTGTATTTACACACCCGCTGTGGAACACAGGTTTGGGCCTAAAATATAACGAAGTTGAACATCGTTCGCTAATGAAGCAAAATGCGGTAATTAAAGCAATTACTCATTTAGAATCTTAATATAGGTACATACTATACGGTACCACCCAAATGTTATTGTCCGGCGAAGAGACAAAATGCACGCGCGTTTTCCCATAAGGTTGCACAGCATTACCGCTAAAGTAGACTGGTTGCGGTCTGCTTCAATTTGCCTCCCGGAAGTTGCATTGACATTAGCGTTAGTTGAACCTCTAGCGCACGTTATAATAACTCTATCAGAGAACCACTCTCAGATTATATTTGAAAACAATAATGACTCTATCTTGACTATTTGCTTATCAAACATAGAAATATAGTTGAATAAAATTCTGTTTCACCACGGAGATAAACATTTACTACCAAACTTTCACACGTCAATCATCTCTCTAGCCAATAAGAGATGTAAGCGCACATTGTAAGCACGGGGCGAGGCTTAGCGCAGTGCGACCTCCACCTTCTGCACCTAAATTGTGTCTAACGCCGTAAATATTGCGCGGAAAAAAAATATGTTTCGTGGAAAAGTTATTTAAAGAAATATATGTCCCACCTATGCCCTTACGAAATAACTTGTTTTTCTTGCAGTGTTTCTTTAAACTGAGATAGCAGCCAGAGCTACAAGCGCGTGAGCACGAGGTCAGGGCTCTGAAACGTTCTTCCGTAGAACGAGCGCTCGCTCTAGAGAGACACGTCTCAAAGCCAGGAGCGCGGGTTAGCTCGCGTTTCAAACTTTCGCTCTATACTCTGTTTCATACTAAGTGTACAACGCTGTCAAAGCTGCTGGCGCGAGCATGGAGTAGGATCTCGCGTACCATTTGCACGCGTTCTCGCACAAACGAAACCATGAATAAAGCCACACGCACGCGCCAGTAGCAGTGACAGCGCTGCATACTAAGTATGAGACGCAGTATAGTCTCAGCTCAAGGATAAACGGAATATAGTAAGATCAGTCTATTCATACTCAGCGTCACAATGGTCTTGCGAGGCCGTGAAATTTTGATTAAAATTCGTAATGGGGGAAACAGGGCGAGGAAATATCACCGTTGTTCACGCCTTCTAACAAAAAAAAAAACAAAACAAATTCAGTCTTTTCATTTTGGTGAAGAAGGAAGACCAGCGGAGCTGTAGAATAGAAAGTAATGGCCGGCCGCAAGTCGGCAAGCCGGATAAAAAGGCTGCCGCCCTCTATAAGCGACGGCGGCAACCAGATACGTGGCTTGCCGCCGTCGCTCATAGATGGCGGTAGGTGTTCAGAGTTCGGTGTCTTCATTTCTTTGGGGGGGGGGGGGGGGGGGGGGGGGAGGCGGAGGGAGGGGGGGGGGGACACGATCCTAGGGAGACTAGCCCTTAACAGCTCCGCTGTAGAAAACTAACCGGGTAAAGAGAGCCACTGATTTAGTTTTTCGATATCGATTCTGGAAAACTATTATTATGCACGCAGACATAGAAAAAAAAAAAAATGGATTAAACATATTTTTTTTTTTTTTTTGTATCGCCAATTAACTTATTTCGCCTCTGGTGACGTAGAACCAGAACAAGCGAGAAGGCGTCGTTCTCTTCTTCCAGTGTGCTTAGGCCTGTTGATAGTCGCCAGTTCTAAAATGCTGGGCACGGTATCCAAGGTACCTTACGTTCGGCTAATTTTGATAGCGTTTATTCTTGCGGAAATGAATAAAAAACGTAAAAAAAAGAATAATAAAAAAATAACGTCAACAACAACCTGCTTCAGGCAATAAACAAATGTTTTATCCTGAAGTTATTTTTACTTCGTTTTTCTTGTACTGGGGTCCGAAGTGCTAAATCTTTTTGCATGAGATTTCGCCTTTTTTATAATCCGCGCATTTTTTTCCTTTAAAAATCCCGCATGCCTTATCAGCCCAACAGCAGGCCCATGTTGCACTGTGAAATGCAACCCAGTGGGAAGAAAGGTGATGTGCTCTCCTGAGGGTTTCTGCACGAAAAAGACATTTTGTGAATATCCTTTTTTTGGCAACTAGTTGTTTTTCAGCAAGTGACGGTATGAAGAGTAGAGTACGTGTCTCCTAGTGATAAAAACTTATTAAATTTGCAGATTTTTCGGAGGTCCTATGAAATGCGAGCTAGCAAAATCCAGCTCAGCTTAGCTTCACCACTGAAAGATCATGCAATTTGAATCGTGCTTGTCTCAAAGGGTTTTCTCCGAAAGACAGCGGGAGCGAACATTTAGAAGAAGGTCATGGTGCTTCCTACGTAGCTTCAAACACAACACAAGTTTAATTTAGAAGTGATCATTCTAAACTTTATCAAATGTATCTAAATTAAACGGTTAACAACCCGAGGCACTGATTTGTACGACGTAGTAGTGAGTAGGAATTTAATAAGCTTAAGGCCAATCGTGTGAGCCAAGGGGATGTTTGACAATTTGAACGAACCGCATAAATCGGAACATATCAAGCTAATATTTGGTACAAAAGTGACCTGTAAAGGTTACGAGCGGTGAAGTCTCTACCCACGGCGGCAGTCTGCAAATGAAAGATGTCTGAGTGAATCAGCAATCGCAATATAAAGGCAGACGTTTACGCATAGCCGAAAGTGCGGGACAAAAATATTTATTATTGATTTTGTGTCCGTTTTGCGTGTTTTATTAGTAAAAAAAACTAGTTAGTAGAAAAAGCTATCATAGAAAACACCAAAAAGCCCACGCCGAATTTAATTTTAAAATATCGTCTACTTTCCAAGATCAGAGCGTGCGCCGTCGCTCATACCTGTCTCCATCTGTTCACTGTTGCGCCACTCAGACGCCTAGCGAAATCAGGTTCGTAATTTTTTACTCTTCTCTCGGGGAACTTAATTCTTTAAAAAGTTTGATGCACGAGATGCCCCATTTCGGTTACATTTTCACAAAGTTTGAGCGCCATGCGTCAAGCCACCGATTAACGAGACCCCCTTCTAAGGGCCAACGACCCAGCCGACTCGCTCGGTATTGAGCCGCTTCAAACAAAACCGAGAAAGTAGTTCGTTTAAGACAAGTCACACTTATACTGGCGCAGTCACTTCTCCGCATTACTCTACCTTGACCCGCCACCACCGGGCAAAATGCTGCCTGTCCCGCACCGGCTTTGAAGCCCAACTTGACCGAATGCAACGAGAGGACGCAGGTGTGCCTCAACGGCGAGTGCGCGGGCTCCATCTGCCTCAAGTACGGCATGATGGAGTGCAGCCAAACCGGGTCTCACCTGTCCGTCGCGGAACTGTGCCTCGTGGCTTGCCGAAGCTACGGTAAGGAACCTATTAGCTATAGCAATTCGTCCCACTTATTTGATGACACTCTTTGCCAATCTGATCGCTACCGCCTACTCTAAACGGTCGCCGAATTCGCTAAAAAAAGAAAGAAAATTAGGCCAACGTTTTGTAATATTCTATTTAACATTAAGTCAGACATTCGCTGGCACTACAATCCTATAAGGCCTTATAAGCAGCAAAAAAAAAAAGTGTATCGTCACGCCGATCGTCGAATGCATATTGTATCGCCACCTATAAATCAATCCCGTAAAAAAAAAAAAGTGAAAGCAGTTTACAACTTCCTGTAACGCCGAATTGGAGCGCAGCTCTTGAGGAGGAGGAGGGGTGGAGGGTATATTCCTCCTCCTCCCTCGTGATCATGCCTGCTAGTCCTCCTCCCCTCCTGCTCCCCCTCCCACTCCTTTACCACCTTTACCGGGCGGGGGAGGAGGGGGGAGGAGGAGGAGCGGAGGGGGAGGAGGAGGAGGGGGAGGGGCGACGCCGACGCCGACGCCGCATAGGCTGGAAACGGGTCCTGTGACCCGCCCGGACCATACTACACAATGAGGGGAGGAGGAGGAGAAGGAGGGGGGAGGAGGAGGAGGGGGAGGAGGAGGGGGAGGAGGAGGAGAGGGAGGGGCGCGGTTACGCTGACGCCGACGGCGACGCCGACGGCGACGCCAACGGCGACGCCGACGCCGCTCAGGCTGGAAACGGGCCCCTAAGAGCTGCGCTCTAAAAATAAAGTGCAGAATCATGAGGAGTTTACGTTGCGAGATTGGTTCATTGGGGATACCAAACGCACAAAAACGACAAGCTCCCTGGCGACGCATTTTTTGACGCTCTGTGATTGGTTCTGGCGGATCGTTTAGCTTCGGCTGCTGACGGACGTTTGAGTGAAACGGAAGTGTAGTAAAGCTTACGAATGTATACACCTTTGCGAAATTCGCCCTCTGCGCTGCCATTTTTGTCCACTGGGCTGTGGAACGCCTTCTGATCATGCGCATGCATCCCAAGCGCAATGAAACGGTTTTTTCGGCCGGGTGATAAGCGATGTGAAACAGAATATATTGGGGGGGGGGGGGGGGGGGGGGGGGAGGACTCGGAAAGGCATCTGTGCAGTATAGGCCTAAGTATTTGGACACTCGCGTTAGAGTGACTGACAGCTTCACAACCGCAGGGCATGACTTTTCGAGTTCGCGGTGCTTACTTCGTTCTTGGGAGTTGTTACTGGCTAACGTCACAACCTCGTTTGCCGCGCACCGATAATTAACGGTTGTCGAGAATAGCCCGCCCTGGGTTTCCTAAGCGGTTAATCACTGTGTGGAGTGCAAGTTCGTCTGCTTCTTTTGTAGGGGCTGCGGTGACGTCAGAAAGACGCCTAGCTCTGATTGGCTTTGTTCAAAAGGATAGTGGGAAGACCTTAAAGCAAGCTGCCTTGATGTCTACGCACTGTCCTTCATCCAGAACCAACCAGAGCTCGGTATTTTGACGTCACCACTACCCCTGCAAAAGAAGCAGAACTTGCGCTCCGCATAGTCTGTTTCTGTACCTCTCTGTGATTGGCTTCTGCGGACTCTTCTCGTAAATGGTCTACCAATGTTTGAGTCAGCACGGCTACTTAATGAAGAGAATCACGTTGAATTGAATCACATTTTTGATAGGCCGCTTTTATCGTGAAAAGTGAAGTGAAGTCGGGTACCCATTCGACGAACAGGGATAATAAAGTTGTTAGAAATTGAAAAAACAGACAGCCAGAAAGCTTTGTTTCGAAAAAGAAATTATGTGTATAGTATATACCTGTTTTCTTCACCTTGCGTAGTCTTAGCTTCGAGGAATTCACACATGTTTTACTGTACCTATACCTTGAGATTTACCAGTTGTCACAATTTTAAACAGGAACGAGTTTGCACGACGTGCGCGTGAACGATCAGGCTGTTTAAATCGACCGGAAAATTCGGTTTCTTAACCTATCGCGCTACGACTTTGTGCAGCGTTGCCCACAGATGGTGTTTTTTTTTGTTTTTTTTTGTAAAATTTCCGAAGAGCGAACTTACCTGAGAAAAAAGTAAAGAAAGAAAAAGGCTTAGCTCCTATGGAAACGCAGCGACGCCACCGGTCTGCAAACAACACGGCGTCGTTTCACACGGGAGACAATAGATGGCGCAACAAACGCCGCCAACTAACGAGCATACGGCGCCGAGAGCAGGCCTTTTTGGCAGACGATCTTTTCGACTCGAAAGCGGCGCGCGTTCCGCAGGCGGCGACAATCGCAGAAACAAAAAAAAAAAAAAAAAGACAGGTGCGATAACAGCAAGGAACTGCAGTCCCTTGTCTGCTAGAGACGCCGGCTCTCGGCGTCGTATGCTCGTTCGTTGGCGGCAGTTGGCGTCGCGAACGCTTGCGCCATCTCTTGTCTCCTGTGCGAAACGGCGCCGTGTTGTTTGCAGACCGGTGGCGTCGCTGCGTTTCCATAGGAGCTAAGCCTTTTTTTTTCTTTACTTTTTCCTCAGGTAAGTTCGCTCTTTGCAAATTTTACAAAAAAAATGCACCATCTGTGGGCAACGCTGCACAAAGTCATAGCGCGATAGGTTAAGAAACCGAATTTTCCGGTCGATTTAAAGAGCCTGGCGTCTCCTTGTTTCACCCTGTAGAAATGAAAACCAAAACCTTTTAAAGCTGAACATTGTATAAACGATAACCAAATAGGCTTGATTTAACATTCAGGGGTAGATAGACGCCTATATTTACCCTTAAAAGAAATCGAGTGAGTAACTTATAATGCCGTTGAAGCAAATTATAGGTGTCCACAATCGGTTCATATTTTCTGCCGTTGTCGAAAAAAAATTTAGAAGGCATTATACGTTATTGTATCCCCAAGAATTGCTAAAAACGGCATTGAACTTGCACGCAAAGCAGACAACATATGAAACTTTTTGAAAAAGTTAGCACTAGAAGATGCATAGATCACGAACCACATATTTTTATGAACATTGAAATTAATTCGAACGTGAAAGTACGAGTGCCGTATCCTACCTACCGTTGTGGAAGGGTTAGTGAACATCCAGATATCGAATGTCGCTTGTCTGCTAATGTTCAGTGCTGCATTCGATGTCAAAAACCTATCGAAGATATGTCAAATGAAAGCAGCCCGCCTAAAAAAATAAGTACAGTAAAGGTTAGTACGAATAGTAGTTCCGTAATTACTTTGTTATAAGGCAAGGCACTCTTAGTGCAATGATGTCGGTATAACCTTATCTTGAGATTACGAGACAAAGAAGTCAATAAATGAGAGACAATTTAGAATACAATATAAAAGGAGCAATTTTAACTAAATACACTTCGCTTTCAGTTTGCATATGATCATTCTGCAAAAACTACAGGATACTTTTCACTCGTGGTAATCAACATATTTACGAGTGAGCACTACTCTTCAGAGTACGTACCTAAAATAAATTTTGAAAGTGAGCGTTTTCGAAAAGGCTTTTTCACATCGTGTTTGTCTTTGCTCTCTGCAGAAGACGCGAATGCATGCAAGCCGCTCTGCGAATTTGAGAAGACGAAGTCGCTGTGCAATCTGAGGCTGCAACCCGGCTCGCCCTGCAACGGCCTCAGGGGATACTGCGACGTCTTCCAGAAGTGCCGCAACATTGACGAGGAAGGCCCACTTGCC